AAAATATTCAAAATATTCAAAAGTATTCAAGTTCCACGGAATTCAAAAGTGTTCTCCCAACGGCATTAATTTAACACCTGTTCTGAATGAACTCGGCGCTAAATGCTGGGAATACAGAAACAAGGCGGGTTTGCCGGGGACTGGCCTGGCCGACCAGCATGGGGACCCTCCTTCCAACAGAGGAATGGCCAGGCAGGACACAACACACGCACACTCCCCGTAATACACACTGCTACAAGCCACGTGAGTTCTAGAACACGAGGTCTTGTTTTATCTGCGGCAGTCTCTTTTTCTGGGGGACAGTCCGTGCTCTAGAGAAGTGGTAATCCACAAAGGATGATAAAAGATGTACAAGTAATCTTACCAGACCTGCCAAAACCAAAGAAGGAGCATCACAGCAAAGACTAAGGCACAAGGTTGACTGTGGCCCTGCGTGCAGTCAGGAAAATAGTCAGGTAGACGAACTGTAATCAGCAAGGGTGACAGGCAAATTCTAAGGCGGCCTCGTGACACTCATCCAGGGGCGCTGCTCCCGGGATTATGTTAGGATTCCCGGCAAAGATAATTTTGCAGATATAATGAAGGTTACTAATCAGTTGGCTCGAAGACAGGGAGACTGTCGGAATAATCCGAACCTATCATCAGAGCCCTTTAAAAGAGTTCTCTCCCTCTGCTAACAGAAAGGGAAGTCAGAGAGAAGATACGGAGCATGACAGAAACATTCTGTTGCTGGGCCTGATGATGAAGGGAGCGATCTGGAAAGAACCTGAGAGCTGCCTCTAGGAGCTGAGAGCCAGGGCTGGGACAGCTGTCAGGGAAGGGGCTCTCGGTCCTAGAGGTGCAAGGCATGGGCTTCTGCCAAGAGCCTGAATGAGCTGGGAGCACAGTCGTCCCCACAGCCTCCAGAGGAGAAGGCGCTCAGCAGATAAGGTGATGTGGGTCTAGGGAGACCCTCATTCATGCTAATACATGGGTGTTGTTTTAAGCCCCTGAGTTTGTGGCATTTTGTCCTGCAACAATAGCAAACTGTTACAGCAAGAAAGACGGTGGACATCCACTGACATCATGAAATACTACGGAGAGCCTCACAGACGCCACCACAGCCTAGAGAGACCAATGAACAGGGGCCAGAAGAAAGCAGAAGCATCCCATGGTGAGATGTAAAGCAACCGGGACTGCCCGGGCATGCCTCTTCACAGGGACTCTGTGTTGGGAGTTTTAGCTCTGTTCCCTTCCAAATGACCTTGGTAGAATTACGTTAGCTGTTGGAAAGGACCTTCCCAGGACCTTCCATATCCAGGCTAACTGGAGTATATGCATATACAACAACAACAAACCTTTTTTATTAACACATGGATAAACTTCTAGGCAGAAGCAATGCAAAATCTGTCTCTTTCTCTAAAATAAATAAATGAATCTTAAAAAAAAAAAAAGGGAGAATGGTCAACTGAGTGGAAGAAGACTAGGATAATAAGGTCAAAAAGTTTCTTCAGATTTGGGAAGAGCGGGTTCAGCATAAGTGGATAGAAAAGCCCAATGCAAGAGGGGGAAGACTAGCTAGTCAGCAGAGACGCATAAACACATATGACAGGGACTGGGGATCTCAGTCCTATAACGAGAGAGGTCTTTTACTCCAACAAAACGTGAGGCATGTGACATCTAGAATTTGGAGGTTTTGTAGCTTTAGGACAAGGAGGTTGAAGATACTGAACTAACAAAATATTTCAACCTCCTGATAAATACAAATACACTTGAGAGAGATGATAAAGATAATAGTTCTTTTAAAGGTAAGACATCTTCAGAAGCTGTTCTGAAAAAATTTTAAAGAAAGACAAGTACGTTCTATTGACCAGAAGACAGTGCGGTTATACATCGTCTACTTCGGTTTAATGACAAAAGCCAAAAAAATGGTAAGGTATGCTGATAGTCACAATCCTAGAACAGTAGGATCATCATCATCCTAGAAAGGTACAACCTCCTCACCTCATGAAGAAACATACTGCAAAATGTAATACATAAAATTTGTGGGTGGCAACACCGGAGTCAATTTGTTAATTTCCCCTTGATTCTCATAATTCTGGTGCTTTAAATTATGGCATGGAACAACGCCATCTTTAAAAATTCGTGTTGAGGTCTGAATTACGCCCTTACTCTAGCTATACTGCTTAAATTAAACAGATGTTTACTAGAATCCCTTGCTCTTTTTGAACTTGCGGAAAAGAATGTGCAGCTGGTTGGACATCGAAAAACCTTCCAACAGCTAACATAATTCTACCAAGGTCATTTGGAGGGAACAGAGCTAAAACTCCAACACTGTATCTTTATCTACCTGTGTATTATTTCTTTAAGAAGCTTTGCTCTGAAACTCAAGCATCCATTGTTAAAAGACTCTGAAATATGACGCAAAAGTAGATGTTATTTTGGCCTAAGCCTTTTTACTGCTTAGCGGAAATAAAATAATTTCTCACTATTGAATTCACATGAATAGTGTCTAAAAATACAGATTTAAAAAAAACAAACAGAACAAGAACCTACTAATTACTCTAGGCCTACTAAAACAAAACTCCCTCCTTCCTTGTGGTATTACTTATTTGGAATCACATGCCTTTAAGATTGTGATTATATTTAGCCCTGTTGTTTTGTTGTTATAACAATACTGCAAAGAAAAATTATGCATTTTATGATGGTTTGACACTATCAGTCAGAACAAGCTTTTGTCACATCAAAATAATTCTTAGTGCCAAGTTATTCTGAAGACAGAAAATACTTCCTAAAAAGAAAACTTATTTCAAGAATGATAATAACTTTTATCGATGTGTTACTGCATGCCAGGCAGTGAGCAAAGTGCTCCTATCAGTACTACTTTATTTAATTCTTAGAGGAATTCTATTAAGTAGGTCCTATTATTACCCCCATTTTACAGATAAAGAAACTGAAGCTCAGAGGGATTAGGGAATTTGCCAAATGTGACACAGCCATAAAGTGGCAGGTCCACGACCAAACCCAGGCCACCTGACCTGGCAATCTACATCAACTGTCCCCCAACGTGAAAGAGTCGTGCCTCGCTCTACATATTTATTTAAAGAGAATGCGTCTTCCCTGCTTGGCTAGAAAAAAATTAAGTCAAGAAAATTTGACAGCAAATCCATTCTTTTACATTAAGAAGTTACTGAAGCTCTCTTTTGACTACTTTTAATACGTAAAGATTTTGGCTGAATTATTTTTGTTTTGCTGAAAGAAAATTAAGGCCCCTCATGGCAAGGTGTGATTAGTCTACTGTGGTTCTAAAAAGTCTTGCTATGTGTTCACATCTCTTTCTCAAATTACAGAGGAATTCATCTTTCTCTATGACTCCTACATCTGTGACTGAATTGATTATCTCCAGTTTTCCTCGTTTATATGAGAAGTGATCTAAAATAATAAAAACAGAATAAAATACTGTATTTGCCGTAACTTCAGTGGTCTCCATGATTGTGGTCTTCTTACCACAAACAGTTTGAAGTGTTCAGACAGTGAACATGCATTTCAGGAATAAAGGAATAAATACCAAGGTTCACCTCAGAAATCCTTATTTTTGGAGAAGGAGGGCTGTCTGCAATTTGCTTTTTCTATTACCAAAAACATCATTCAACTTTTTTACGTAAGCACTCTTTAAACCAATAACATTTAACCCACAAACAAAAATGTTCGGATAGGGCGCCTGGGTGGCTCAGTCGTTGTGTCTGCCTTTGGCTCAGGTCATGATCCCGGGGTCCTGAGATCGAGCCCCGCATCGGGCTCCCTGCTCTGCGGGAAGCCTGCTTCTCCCTCTCCCACTCCCCCTGCTTGTGTTCCCTCTCTCTCTCTGTCTCTCTCTCTGTCAAATAAATAAATAAAATCTTAAAAAAAAAAAAAAAGTTCGGATAAAGAAACCAACAACAAAAATGGACATGAGTATGTGTATCATATTCTTTGCTCTTCCCATATAATTAAGAGAAAGGATGATGGAAAGAATGGGGACTCTCCTAATGTCAGTCCGATGCTCTTGATTAATAGTATCTTTTTTTTTTTAAAGATTTTATTTATTTATTTGATACAAAGAGAATGAGAGACAGAGAGCATGAGAGGGGGGAGGGGCAGAGGGCGAAGCAGACCCCCGCCGAGCAGGGAGCCCGATGCGGGGCTCGATCCCAGGACCCCAGGATCATGACCTGAGCCGAAGGCAGACGCTTAGCGACTGAGCCACCCAGGCACCCCATCAGACAATTTTTTTTTTAAGATTTAATTTATTTGAGAGAGAGAGAATGAGAGACAGAGAGCACGAGAGGGAAGAGGGAAGGGGGCAGAGGGGGAAGCAGACCCCCCGCCGAGCAGGGAGCCCGATGCGGGGCTCGATCCCAGGACCCCAGGATCATGACCTGAGCCGAAGGCAGACGCTTAGCGACTGAGCCACCCAGGCACCCCATCAGACAATTTTTTTTTTAAGATTTAATTTATTTGAGAGAGAGAGAATGAGAGACAGAGAGCACGAGAGGGAAGAGGGAAGGGGGCAGAGGGGGAAGCAGACCCCCCGCCGAGCAGGGAGCCCGATGCGGGGCTCGATCCCGGGACCCCAGGATCATGACCCCAGCCGAAGGGTCCACCGACTGAGCCACCCAGGCGCCCCTGATGAACAGTATCTGGATCAACAGCCATTCCGTGGAGCAAGTTCAGAGGGCAAGGGAGGTTTAAGCTTCGGATGACGGGGAGGGACAGAGTCAAAGGGAATCCAGCAGATGACAGCAAATCTCACGTAACTGCTACTGAACGCAGTTTAAAGCGCGCGATTCCCGGGGCCGGGCACAGACCCCACCCTGCTCGGACGCCGCCCAGCCGCGCCGCAGCCGGGGACGGCGCTTGCCCGGCGCCCCGCGGGGCCTGCGGGAACTGCCCCCCCGGCCTCAGGGCGCCGGGACCCCGCCTTCCGCGCGGCCTGGGCCCCGCCGCCCTCGCCTCGCACCGCCCGGCGCGCCGAGCCTCACCTGCCCGCGCCCGCCGGCCTGGCGCGCCCACACAGCCGCTCGCACGCGCCGCCGCCTCACGGGAGGGGCCGCCGCGCCGCGGGCCGCCCACGGCAGAGCGCCGGGGCAGCGACTCCGGTCCAAACGCGGCACCCGGGAGGCGACCGCGGCGCGCTGACCTGCAGCGGCGACGGCGAGCCCGGCGGCCGCGCCCAGCAGCAGGCTCCGCGCGACGACGGCGCCGCCGCTCGGGCCCCGCCCGGCCGCCGCGGCAGCTCCCGCGGGAGCCGGGGCAGCGCGCGCCCGTGACGCAGCGCCCGTTCGCCGCGCGGTCGCCGCGGCGACGCGCGCGCACGCGCCCCCAGCGAGGGGCGGGCCGCGGCCCCCGCCCAGCTGCGGCTCCCAGGCGCGGGGCACTAGCGGAAGGCTTCCGGGAGGGCGGGCGGCCTGGGTGCCCACCCCTCCTCCTTCGCCATGATCCTAGGCGGCCAGGGGGACGAGCCCCCGTCCATATGCCCGGGCCAGAGGGGTTCGAGGAAGCCAAGAGCGCACCACCTGGGTTAAAGACCCTTCGCGAATGTGTCCCCGAAGGGAAGGTACCCCACATGCACAGGCCCCGCTCCTCCCGCGGGAGCCTCTTTGGGCCCCACTGTGTCTTGAGCACCTGCTACTTTCTGATTTAGGTTTGCCGGTGCTGGATGGGGTCCCGTCAACTCCATGCGTTGAGTTAACTGGGTGCCCAGCGTATTTAGACTGCATTTGCGTCTACGGGAAGGTGATGATCTGAACCACAGGAAAGTCACGAGGAAGCCTCTTTCTTGCATTTATTCTGTTTTCTTACCATAAAGATGCTCAAGCATCTAGGTATGGTAACATAGGGCAGAAAAAGAAGCCAGGGCACTCCTCGAGCATTCCTCGCGCATTCCCATGCCTGGGAAGCATACAGCACGGAGCCTCACAGACCCGGTGCGCAAGCCCCTGCTAGGCTTCTCGATGGCTGCAGATAGGCCTTGGACGACTTACATAATCTTGCTAAACCTGTTTCCTCAATTATAAAATGGAGATAATAGCACTCATATAGGACGATTGTGGGAACTAAATAATGAACACTGAAAGAAAAACCTGTCCAGGACTGAAAGAATGGAAATCAGATTGGACCAAAAAGAAAAAAACCCTGCCATTGATCAGGCTGGGAAGACACAGATGAAGCCAGAAGCAAGTTAAGAGGAAATACTGTTTCTCCCAAAGTCATGCAATCAGGATGACTTCCCCAGATGTCAGAAGAACCTTCCTCTTAAACTCACACCATAAATGACTTAACAATCCTCTCTGTAAGTGACTATTGCTTTCTTACCCCAGACGCCCCCCTTGCTTTGCTATTCCCACCCAGACTGGCGATGCCCGGTTGCTACGCTCTCCTCTGCTCATGAAAGAACCCAATCTCTAGTTAACCCCTTTATTTTCCAATCTGCCTCTGAAACAATAACCCAAGACCGTCACAGAATCCTTCAGTGGGAACCCACACCTTACAAAAGGTACTTCCCTTTCTCCTCTCACCTGGCATTCCACAATATCCTGAGTGCCCTCTCACTGCACCAACAAATCTGACTTAAGACAACAGGCTTGTTCCCAAGGATCTTTAATACACGTGAGCTTAGCCCAGAATGTTCAACTTTTAACATTTTTTAAATCAGTGCCATTACAATGAATACCTATTTTGATACACATATAAATTTAGAATCTATTTTGGTACTGCATGAAAATGTTAGTCTGCCTCCCTAGGACACTAATGCTAGGACCCTATCCACTTCTCATCCGCATTTAATGGGCATTTTTTGAGCTCTTGCTACATGCCAGAGACTATAATAAATATTAAGGGTAAAAGTATGTATCTTTAATATAGCTTTTCTGACTTTGTCTGCTCTTGTTTATATGCTGTTGGCTGGGGTATTTGTCTTACCAAACTGTACAAGAAAGACCGGAATTACTCTATTTTGAAGGTGGGAGAAACTGAGGTCTAGCAAGCTTCAAGTATATTCCACACCAGGCGCAAAGAGGTGTTTAGCCTATTGAAATAAATACAAGATTCTGAGTTGGCATTTCCCCAACGGAAGTAAGGTACTCAGAGCTACTATACTGGAAAAATTTGAGAGCCAAAGTAAAAAAAATTCAAGATATTGAAAATTAGTAGGTTCTTAATTCTTGCATTTGTTGGGAATGGTTTAGGGGTGCCTGTCGGTTGAGCGTTCCACTCTTGATCTCAGCTCAGGTCTCCACCTCAGGGTTGGGAGTTCAAGCCCCTCATGGAACTCCATGCTGGGTGTGGAGCCTACTTTAAAAAAAATTAACTTGTGGGGCAAATGGCTGGCCCAGTCAGAGGAGTGTGCAACTCTTGATCTCAGGATCGTGAGTTCAAGCCCCACATTGGGTATAGAGATTATTTAAAAATAAGTAAGTAAACTTTTTTAAAAAGTGATTTAATTGTTCCTATGGACATCAGTCAAAAATGATTTCTTAGAAATTTGTCATTATAAACAGTAAATGGGAAAGTATTTCACTTGAATGCTCTGAGTCATATAAAAAAATGATGCTCCTGGGGCGCCTTGGTGGCTCAGTCGGTTAAGCGTCTGCCTTCAGCTCAGGTCATGATCTCAGGGTCCTGGGATTGAGCCGCATGTCGGGCTCCCTGCTCAGTGGGAGCCTGCTTCTCCCTCTCCTCCCCGCTTGTGCTCTCTCTCACTAGCTGTCACTATCTCTCTCAAATAAATAAATAAAATCTTAAAAAAAAAGAAATGCTTTCAAGGTTTTCAAACAATTTGATAATTATTTAATCTAATACACAGTACTATATATTCTATTTTTTATAATTAGCCTTTCATTCATCTAAATTTTTTTTATAATGTGATGTAAGGTATGGTTCTTTCAACAACTATTCTTCCAAGTGAATAAGCAATTTATGCCAAAAACATCCTTTTCCTATATAAATGAACTATTGCCTCCATAATGTATGCTATTAGCATTCTCATTTGAAATGATTAAATAAGTATAAACAAATCTCCTTTCCACTGTCACTACAAAGGGAATATTATATATAAATTCAGCTTGTCTTTTTTTAGGTGTTTCCGCTGTTAATTTTGACACCCCTGATGAAAATGAGGCTCTGTGACTTCTCATTCTAATTATTCCCCCTGGCTTTCCTTTTTTACACTGAGGTTGTCAGTGTATGCTTGGTAGTTCTTGGTGGCTTGAGAAGCTTCATAGACGCAGTTTTCTTCCTCACAAAGGTGAGTAGCAACAGTGGGCCAGAAACAGGAAGCAGGTAAAAACTTCAATCGCATCATGGGCACAAAAGCATACTAAAACAAACTATAAACAAGTAAAATTCTTTATTTAAAGTATTTTTTTTACAGGGAGAAAAGTTTCTTTAAAGCACGTTTAAAAAGTGCTCCTTATCCCTCTCCTGTAAAATAATTCAATTTTATAAGAAGTAAAACTAAAAGGCTATTCCTCTTTAAACATTTATTTTTCTCTTAGGAAAAAAGCCCAAATGCAGCTAGAACACCGACTTTAATCATTATCAAGCCTAATTTTGCCTCTGTTGGCAACATAAACAGCGACATGTTGACAAACATGAGTTTTAAAAAGTAAAGGAATTTCAAATCAGAAGATTTCATTTATAGCTTACCAATCACATCCTCTTAACTGACAAAAATAGTCTGCTATAGGACAGTTGACATCTACTCAAATGGACATAATCATGGCTTTTTTCATTTAAGATTACCTGAATTAAAAGATCCACTTCCCCCAAACACAATAACCTCTTATTTTTATTTTTAAAGATTTACTTAAAATATAAACTATTTAGTGCCTGATTTTAAAAATAAAATATAAAGGCTAGCCCAGGGACAACATGGCCCTGCTTGAGAACCAGCCGGCAGCTCTGAGCAGGATTAGGAGCTCTGACGGTCTTGGTGGCTTTTATGAAGAAGTCTCATATTCTGTATGCTTTAATTTAAATAAACATCAATATTTAGTTCTGAAATTTAAGGACACAATCCACAAAATAAAAATCACAGTAGTGTTTTCTTCTGTTACAATGATGTAGTATATTAATTCCTCCATATAACCTACCTTTCCAGACAGGTAGAAATTACATTTACAAAAATCCAGAACAAAATTACTCAGAAGATAGAAAACTCTTATTTGGAAAGCATTTCACAAGATTACATCGAGGTTGCACAGAAGACCCCAGTGATCACTAGGAAATCTACCACAGTCCAGTTTTTCCAACCCGAGGAGGTCCAAACTTTGGGGAACGATATGGCCACTATCTGCTGCTGTCCTGAAAAATATTCGATCAAAACGAAGCTTACGAGCAGCAGATATTCCAAGATTAGAGTTCATCTGTGTATCCCATGTATATTGGCAATGCTTAGGTTTGCCCAAGAACTCCCAGACATCCAAAATGTTGCTGGGTAAACCACCACACTGGGTGACCTGAAATGAAAAAGAAAACTCTTTAAGATTCAGTCCTTTTCCTCCTAAACTAAAAAAGGTTTCACTATTATGTCTAAGTGCAACATTTCAAATCAGAACGTCACAAATTACTGCCCCAATGCAAGATTATGTATTAATATTAAATATATTATAAAATGTATTTTGCTGTATGGTAATAAGTAGGTAGTATAAAAATACCTAAACAGCCAGAGGTCTGGAATTTGCCCTTCTCTTCTGCCGTAAATAGATTCCTAAACTCTGGGTAGCCGATAAAACTTAAAAGGCTGGAAACTCACAGCCTCTGTTATTGCTATTAGTTTTTGAAAAATGAACACAAGTGAAAAGCAGGCAAAACTGTTACTCTATTTTAGTCTATAAATGTAGACGTATACCATGTATGTGATCGACTAAGGTCAACTGCCTTCAGTTTCATTTGAAATTTATATCAAATCCTCCTCCCTCTTCACACTCCAGGATTTTAAAAACACTTCACTGTGGTAAAATACAGGCATGCCTCCTTTTATTGCACTCCACAGACACTGTGTTTTCTCCAAGCTGAAGGTCTGTGACACCACTGCATTGAGCAAGTCTGCTGGTGCAATTGTTTCCACAGCATTTGCTCACTTCGTGTCTCTGTGTCACATTTTGGGAATCCTTACATTTCAA